TTTGTTTAATTATTATTTTATTACGTTATTATAATTTAATTGGAAGAATTTTACATACATAAATAAACGCATAAATAACCATATAAGGTGAAATCTTAATACGATATTTGTTTTGACTTTGATGTAATATGGTTCAATAGATTGGTCGAGACTTTCTTTCTAATAATAAACAAACAAACAACATTGATATTAATAGTGATTTTTAATCGTGAAGTTTTTTTTTTACAAGTATTGACGCAGGTTCTTTCTTTATTTATTTGCAATATTTAAATAATGTCATACATTCAGACCCTGAATCCTCCAACATTATTGGATTTATTTAACTTTTAATTATTTTTCCTTCTTATATAAACACAGTTGTTAATATTAATTTTATCCTCGTTTTTTTTTCTAAAAATAAAATAAAAAATGTGTGATATAGTTGAATCAGCAACATACTCAAACTCTTTACCTTTACCTTCTTCCCAAAATCCGTCATTTTCATCGCTAATATTAAAAAAAAAGAGTGTCACTTTAATATCATTACCAGAAGATATTTTATACATGGTAATTCAAAACTTGGATTTTTTATCAACTTTAACGTTGAAGAGAACATGTCGCACGCTGTATAGTTTATTCCCTGATTCAGTCTTGTTCATTAGACTAACGTTTACGGTACGTCTAACACAAAATATATTCAACCATCTATTCAACCATATTATCAATACAAAAAAAACAAGTCATATAAGAGAAATTGTTTTCGATTGTTCGAAAATCGATGTTGTAGCCATAATCAATGTTTTAGACTATTGCGAAAATCTCGAGAAATTGTATATTCTTGGGTGTAAGGAAGTCTTATTATTACCGATAACTAATATTATGGTAAAATGGAAAAAACAAGACGAAGAAGAAGAAGAATCAGGGAAAGAAGAAAAAGAAGAAATAAATATCAACTCAAGAAAAAGAAATAAAAGAAAACTGGAAAATTTGAAAAAGATTGTTTTAAGTAGATGTATAGGCGGCAACAGACATTCTTTAATAATAAAAAAAATTATCAACGATTTAAATTATCTATATAATTCAAATGAGACACTCAATACTACATTAATTTCTTCATCGTCAAGGACAATTTCGTATGAGGACGATTCAACAACTACAAAATTAGTTGCACCAAAAAATTCATTAAATCCAAATCCAGCCCAACAAATCCAACAAGAACATCAGCAATCACAGCGACAGCAACAACGTACTCAACTACTCAATCTAACAAAACTATTCACATCACAATACTCTTCTACAATAGATGGAATTTTTCAAGTCACTAATTGTCCCGATTCAAACTGTGAGACATGTCAAATTTGTTGTGCAAATTGTAAAATAAATTACAAATATTGGGATGAAGTTTGGATAAAGTGTGGATGGTGTAGGAAAAAACATTTTTGTGGTGACTGTGTTACGACATTGCCTAGGAAAAAATCTTTTAGAAATATGTCTTTTCAGTTCATTAGAATTAAACTGTGTCAGGTATTTGAATTACCTTGTTCTATCTAGATGATTATTATAAATAGAGGAGCGGAGTTGAAGTGAAAAAAAACAAGTGTTGTATAGGAATACTTTATATCAAGAAAATTTTAATATTTTCTTGTGACTTCTAACTGTATTTAGCCCAAATTTTTGTTAATACTTTCTTATTAAATAAATTAATAAATATTAAATCTTTAGTTATATTAATTAATTGACTGGAATAATAATATTTTCTATTAAAAAATAAATAGGATGTAGAAGGTAAGTAGTTGTCGAAAAAATTATGTCATACTAATAATAAAGTTGATAAACAAGATGGAGAGCAGAAAGAAAAAGGTGTTGGCATTATACAGCGTGTAACAAAAATTATTGTTGCCACGAAACCCTTATAATAATATACTTGCCGTCCACTTTGAGATCAGTAGAAATGTCACATGTCTCATATTAACCAATCAAATTTTTGTCACTCAATTAAGGAATATACAGTACTAGTACATTTTGGAATTAGTTCAGAATCCTGGATCCGGTTTTTTAATTATATTAATATGAAAAAACATCCTACTTTAATTGTGAATTTTGTTTACATTATGGGACTAGGAATAGGACCCCGAACAATCTTAGGAGATGGTACATTTCAATTTTGGGTAGAAATGGCCCTCAAAATCGAATATCATTTCTTAATTAGGATAAATTTTGCGATGATTTTGTAAATTATTTCCAAAAATGGTAATAAAGTGGGTATTTTTTCAAATGTACCATCTCGGGGTCTTCTAGGAATGGAGAGTAAAAATTAACCAATAAAATAAATAATTGATCTTTCAATAATATATCTCAACACTTTGATAATAAACACAAAATAAATAATTGATCTTTAAGTAATATAATAGCTTAACACTTTTACATAAAAATAGTCCTTGACTGTAATCAATTAATGATTGATTGATTGATTGATTCGTAACCTTTTCTGATGATTAATGGTTTGGCCAACCTTTAATTATTAGTTAGTGATTCCTTTTAGTTTTACTATATTGCTGTAGGAGAGCCTTAAGTAGTATAGTTTCATATGGTAATTTCAGTTTAGTTTGAACATTATATTGGCTGTGCCAGATTTGGTGACTCTGTAATAGAGTAGAGTTTCTATTCGTAATACAAATTCTTATTCAAATTATTCGAATTATTAATATCCGCTTTCAAATTATTATCGTTCGTTTATTCGTTTACTTGATTTAATCGAATTATTCGTTTATTCATTATATTTGTTTATTCGTTTTATTCAAATTATTTTGAACTATTGAAGTATTCATTTACTTGAATTATTCGTTTATTCATTTTATTCAAAATCATTCATTTATTCATTTTATTCAAATTGTTTATTTATTTTATTAGAATTATCGAATTATCGAATTATTCGCTATTCATTTTATTCGAATAAACTTTCAATGTAATTTGAATATTCAAATTCATAACGAGTAAAAGCAAATAATTCGAATAAACCTTGTTCGAATAGAAACCCTAATCAAGTTATGTATAGTGATTTTAGTTTAATTTGCCAGATTTGATGACACCATAATAAATAACTCAAATCGTACTCTCCCAATATTATTATTATATGCATAATAATTAGGGCATTACAGTTTTATGTTCTATGACTTTTTATGACTTTAGAGAGTGTCATGCCTAATTTATCAGGTACACAAATCATAAGATTATATTATTTTGTGAAACATATTTGCGGCAGAAAACAAATATATTAAAAAAACTACAAATAAGATAAAAATCACTTTGGATGAAAATAAACATCATGGCAATACTTCTACTGACAAAAATGATGATGAATATTCTGATGAAAGGGATAAAGAGTATGGGAAATGTCCAACCTCCAATAGAGGTAATACTTATTATTCATGGTGTCAATCATGAATCCAAAACTATTAACTGAAGGATGGACTAGTGGCAACGAAACATTAGATTAATTGATCAAAAGTACACAACTTAAAACAACAAGATATGATAATGATTATTATCTTCAATGGATTCCTTATAATTATTTAACAAATATTGAAAAGATAGGAGAAGGTGGTGGGTTTGCAACTACATACAGAGCTAATTGGTTAAATGGTTGTATAAATTATATTAATAAAAGAACTAGCAAATATTTGCCAGTGGCATTAAAAAAACTACATAATTCACAGAATATTTCTGATGAATTTCTTAATGAGGTAAATTATTTTATTTTTCTATTTATTTTCAGATTTTTAATATTATTGATTATTGTTGTAATTAAATATTTATTTGTTTTTTAGTTCAGGAATTATAGTAACGGATTAACACTACAAAAGAATATATATTTGTAATGGATTATATAGAAGATGGAAGTCTTCAAAATTATTTAACTAAGATTTTAAAAATTTAAAATGGTTACATAAATTAATATTCTTCATTATATTTAAGGTTTAAAGAATATTCATGAAAAAGAAATTATTCATCAAAAATGATACATGTGGAGTACTACCATATATTGCACCAGTAGTTTTAAAAGAGAAACCATATACAATGGCATCAGATGTGTACAGTTTTGGAGTTCTGATGTCTGTAGTATCAACTGGTCAGCAACCATTTAATAATTTGGCACATGACTTTGACCTTGCAATGAAAATATGTAGAGGTGCAAGACCAGGATTCTCAAAAAATACACCAAAATTCTATATTGAACTAGCATTCAAATGCATGGATGCTAATCCAGATGAACGTCTAACTGCTGAAGAAATTTGTGAGACTACTGGAATTTGGTATAAATTCGAAGATGAATCAATTGGAAAAGTGTTTGAGAAAATGGATGAAATAAAATTCAATCCTTCAACAATTACTCCAGTATTCATCCAAATGCAGTTTATACTAGCAGATTATTAAAATTTACAAACCTTCCACAACCTGTGAATCCAATAAAGTGACAATTATTGGTAATAATAATGGTAATTATCATCAATTATTAATTTAAAATTTAGTATCAATATTAACATTAACATTATTATGTTATAAATTATTATGTTTATAGTTTCTCATCTAATGGATATAAATATTTAGATTAATTTATTATTTATATTAATAATGATATTATAAAGGTAATAACTTTTTCACAATTATCTTTGGAACTTTTTCCTACTTGAAAATAATGATTTTAGACAAAAAAAAAAATAAATGCAATTTTTAATAATCATAACATACATAATTGCAGTATCACTTATTTCTTCAAAACTATTATATTGTTATTTATTTGGGTAATAAAGGCAACCACCATGGTTTAAAAACTTTACATGCACAGGCATTTTCACATTATACCCCAGATAGGATTTTGGTGCGCAATACAACGGTGACAAACAATTAAGCAAATTGTGTTTTTTTTTATTTATTATTTTTACTATTTTATACAAAAAAGAAAAAAAAGAAAGTCATTCGGTGTCGGAGCTTTCCCCTCATGAGAATCCATCGATCTCTTGATGTCATTTGAGTTGTCCAAACTTTCGTCTTCTTCTTCGCGACCTTTTCCCTTGTCGTTGACAACTACGCTCACCACATCTGCAAACCCTAGTTGTCATCGAGGTATTTCTCGAAACCATCTCTTCCTGCCCGTTGCAATTCGTGGCCGTGCTCCTTTTCTGCGCGCTTGTGCTCGACTCTTCGAAGTCCAAGCGCTTCGATTTCAGCTTTTTGCGCCAGGATCCTTTGTCTTCTTCATCGGTAGACGAACAGGTATGTCCATTCAATATCAGTTGCGATAATTTGCATGAGCTTCCTGTCAATGAATATTTCTCCCGCTGTGGAAAAAATAACTCGGCTGTTTGTGACGATGCTGCTATGACGGCTGTTATCGGGGCTGTAAAAGCATGGAACGTCCATCACTACATACAAGCGTTATAAGTTTTACGGATTAATATGAAGTGATTTTTGCCATCATGGCTTTTCGAAAGCGTAGAACATGGATCAGTTATCTTACCGAACAAAGGGTTGATTGGCAAATCATCTATGCTCGGACTTGAAAACATATTTCCCAACGATGGATTCTAGAAGACTTCCTTAGCTTGTGCTAAATGCCTTGTATTGGAAATCCAAGTACTCCTCATCGTCTTTGCTACCCACTGAGGGCATTAATTCCGCTGACGGATTTGACAAACACAACGGCAACGTATTTTTTAAGATGTTTCGAAAAAGTGTAATGGCAAATGTTCAATTGTTTTTCTGATAATATTAGTCGTGTAACATGTCCTGCAGATCAACAGGGAAGTTTATTTTCCGAAAAATTTCCGGTGATCTACACAATTTTTTATTAATAAATTTCGAATTGAATGTCTTCATACCCTCGTTTGACACTCTTGTTATGTAGCAATTTCTACCAAATTTGATACATAACTTCTTTGTCATATGTATCTGCATTAAAAAATTTTTTGAAGCAAGTTGTTAATAAAACAGAAAATAATTTCAGCCTTTGAAGTCAAATCTTGACTTTATATTCATATATGTAGAAATTTGTTAGTGCGTGCAAAGGTAAATAAATATTTACAGAATCATGTTCAATTTGCTTCCTAAAGTATGTCTTTATACTATATAGTAGGCTTTTAGACTATATGATAAAAATACTAAGAATATTATTAACTTATCAGTATGCCAATACCAAAATTATTTTTTTAAAGAATAATCAGATTCTGATATTTGCTGATACCC